TACATTTTGTCTTTTCAAGTTTGAACTTGAACTTACTGATAAGAAGGGTAATTATCCTATCAAAAAAAATAAGAAGGGTAATTATATGTTTGTCGCTTTCTCCCCACGTTTTATCTCCAGTATACTTCTTGTCTCTTTCCAGTACACATTTTATGATAATTTTTAAAATTTTAATTTGATATTTCACGCTATGTAAGAGTGGGTTGTGACTGGTGAGACAAAGGCATTGTTTCTAAAACCTGTACTAGTCAATTGATTCCAATATAGGATGCAGTGTTCTAGGATTAGATAAAGTTAAAAGAGCTCTAGTTTTTTATTAGAGACGCGACGATATTGCAAGAACCTGAAGGAGAGAAGGGAGAGATAAAGGAGACGGATAACATGTGTCTGATTCATTCTTTGTTTACTATCATGCTATTCGGTGTGAAAGTAAATCCCTTTTTAGTTCAAAGATGAACTCTTCTCGACATGCTCATCTTTTTTGTTTTCATGTAGTGCATCATTTGACTCCACTGTGAAGCTGTGGGATGTGGAACTAGGGAAGCTTATCTACAGCTTGAACGGACACAGGTACCAACCCTCAAATCTGTCATCTATTTCTTTCTTCTATGTAAAAGGATGGCTACACTATAAATACTTTTATAATTATATGCACCATAAGATCACTACTAGCATTGCTGATGCTGAAATGACCAATTAATCAAGCATGATTTAGGCAAAAATGTTGAGTGTAATGTGTTGCACCTTTTTTCACCGCATTTATTGATTGGTTATGGTAGGGACCCCGTTTACTCGGTTGCATTTAGCCCAAATGGAGAGTATGTAGCCAGTGGATCTCTTGATAAGTCCATGCACATCTGGTCCTTGAAGGAAGGGAAGATTGTAAAAACATATACCGGCAACGGCGGAATATTTGAAGTCTGTTGGAACAAGGAAGGAGACAAGATCGCTGCTTGTTTCGCAAACAATACGCTATGCGTCCTAGACTTCAGAATGTAACAAACGTAGAAACTTCCCGAGCTGACATGTGGGGAAGAGGCAGCAAGCTCTTAAAATAATAAGTTAAAATTAGGTAGGTATTTTCATTGTAGTGAAAAGGGGAAGCAGTAACTGTAGCGTAGGTTTTGTGCTTCGTGGATTAGGCATTCCTAACGGAATTTGGTGATGGTAATTTGTAATTGTGTACTATGGGTGTCTGATTTGTGAGCTAAGTAGCCAATTATCAATGATGTATAGAATCGTTTTGAGCTTAATAATCAATTTCTAATCATGCGTCTCTGCTACGACGTTGAAAGTCATGAAGTGGATAATAATAATAATAATTTATTAAAAGAATAAGGAGGGATCTTAAGGATATCAAAGTTAAGAATGAAAAGAACAGTAAACTACATATTTATATTAAAGGAATTTTTTTTATTAATCTTGGTTGATCAAGATAACAATCATCCTTTTAACCATTAACGTCGTTTGGTTCATGTTATATTAAAGGATTTTTAAATTTGATTTCTTGTTCCACTTATTATAACTCAACATAAACATATATTATGAAGTAATGTATACATTTAAATGGATATAATTTTTTAATTAATACGTAAGTATAAAAAATAGGTTAAATAGTTTGCAAAATAACATATTTTTCAGAATATATTTGAAATCTAATTTTTATAGATTATGTTTTGGAATGTATAATCTTTGGTTATTATAAGATCTTCTTTATAGTCCTCTCTCATCCACCGTTTTTATTAGATACAAAAAATCTCAAACTTCCCATTCCATTGCTTTACAATAATTCAAAAAAATCCCATTCCATTCCATAAACATGTTCTCCATTTTGAATGCAATGAATCAACTAAAACTCCATGACTTTATGGTGAGTCCCGGATGCCAGTTTTATATCGGTTCTTTAATCTTCAACTCACAATTAAAACAACGTATGATCTGATACAAGATGGTGAAGTAGAATTGGGTAACACCCTTAGTTTCTTTGCGCATTTAGTGGCTTATGTTGCAATTCTAGGTGAGTAAATAAGGATTGAAAAATGTCTACTTTTTTCATGGATTAAAATGGAACCGAATTCCTTAAATGGCCTTTTGCAGCCGTGATGGTGGTGGTAATTTTGCTGGTTCTCAAGTACTTGACTGAGTTCGGTGACAAGAGTGGTGACACAGAAGAAGTAAGGGCAGCTGCCGAGTCCGAGACAGACCCTTTATGCTCTGAAAAGGCAATACCGATAACGTATGGAACATGTGAAGATATAGAAACAGGAAGTTACAGTAGTGGTGAGGAATTATATGATGCAAGGATTCGTATGATTTGCTATGATGAACAAAGGAATTGTTTCTTTGTTCCTTGCGGCCATTGTGCTACCTGCTATGACTGTGCTCAAAGGTATTCGTTAGTGATTTCCTCTTCGCTTTTTCATTAGTAAATGATAGCTTCAGAGATCTATTATCTGTTTTTTCCCTGCAGGATTTATGAGGAGGAAAACAAGGTGTGCAGAAGAATTATTGGCAAAGCCAGCTCCATAACTCCATTGATTACTGCTTCACTTTTCTTTTCTTTTGAATGCAAGTATTTTGATTCAAGGACCGAGGTGATACATGAATCAACTTTAAAATTTGGAAACTGAGGCCAACAGCCTCAACAATCACTTGACTCCCATTATCTGCTGTACAGTCCTCAGATTATTTTTACCCAAAAATAACACTAATTTTAGATTATTTTTCGGATTGATACTTTTTTTATCAGGTGGGCAAAAATGCATTCGGTGAAAAGCGTTTGTTTTTTGTAGGAAGTGTTTTCTGCTGGTATGATAAAAGACGGTAATTTTGAAGATTGAGTTAAAAATGAAAAAAATGAACCAAAATATAAAAATATAGTAAACTATAGTTTTAGTATGTAATACCCCAAATTTTATCTAGTGATTAAAATGTAAGTTTTGAAAATTTAGAGACTAAATTATAAACTTTAAAAAGTTTAGGGACCAAAATTTTTATTTTTAAAAGTTATATATTTTAGCCCATAATTGAACAGTTTGGATTAAAACAAGAATTTTTGTGAGAATCATATTTTCGGTACGGATTTCTGTTAAAAGCTATAAAGCGATAAAGTTCGATATTGAAATTTGATAATTGGATCGAAACGGAATTTTAAGAAAATTTGAAGGATGTTAGAAAAGGGTAGAAAATATTATTTTTATATTTTAGATCAGAGAAATTTGACTCAGAACAGTGTAATTTTTCAGATTTGACCGAACAGTGGATTTTAGTGATTAAAATGCAATTTTCAAAAATTGCATGCCAAATTAGAAAGTCAAAGTCAAGTTGATTCATCTTTGACCAAGGAATATTTTAATGGAAGATATTACAATGACATTTGGTAATTTTCAAGATTTATTAAGGGTATTTTTGAGATTTCTCATTAATTGAATTTAAAATTCAATCAATTAGATAAATGCCATGTGTTTTATCTTTTTTTATACTAGAATAATCAAGAAAATCAACACATTTTCAATTATTCTTCTTCATTTGGCCGAAACTACAAGTTCTCCCAAGAGGGACTAAAATGCAAAAATATGCTAAAATTAGGGGACTGAAAAGCTAATATACTAACACACGTAACATGCATAAAAAAGGGGAAATAACAAAATGAGTGTAATATAAAAAAAGAAAAAATAACATATTTGGTCTTTGGAGGTGACCAAAGTGCAAAAACACGATAAAAGTAGAGGGATCTAAGACGAAATAACCCTTATGTTTATATTATAAAAGCCAATTTTCTCCTTTTTTCATTTTGTAACCTAAAAAAACTCTCATTTTCCTCTCAACTCTCTCTTCTCTCTACTCTACTAAACTTTAACTGATCCAGAAATCAACCGTGTCCTCCGTACATTGGTGCCCATGCTCGCCTCCGATCACCGCCGACGATGGTCGAACTAACGAAACCTTACCACAAACAACCCTAGATCCCTCATTTTAAACCCTCTACATAGATCTAAGCATAAAAATAACAAATAACGACCATAAACCCCACAAAATAGCCTTTGACCCTTCGACTTCTTTGATCTCCGACGACCAAATCTCGATGATAAGCCCTCTCCCCTCAGGTAAACCCCTCTACCCCTTTATTATTATTTTTTTCTTATATATATTGCTTCGATTCATAGACAAGATTTTTTTGAAAAAAAACACTACCTTAAAATTTTGCTTGGTATTTCTTTTCGAAAATGAGGGAAGAAATCCATTTTTACATGCTGATTTTTATACCCAAGTTTACAGAAATAAAAAAGTAAAACCTAATCTATTGCTTTCTGACCATCACTGTTGGTGATGACTTACGTCTTTTAATGTCCTGGATTTTTCGGGATATGGGTTGGATTTGATTTGATTTTTTCTTTTGTTGTGTTTATGAGATGATGATGGTGAAACAGTGAAGATGGTCAGCCTTACGGACGACGTGCGGCGACGTCAACAGAGATGCTTGCTGGAATAGGCGGCGGCGCAAGCTTGGACAACAACTATTAGAGTTAGGGTTAGGTTGGTTTCGGCTAGGGTTTATAATGGGGCTCGGTTTGGTTTTGTAATTGAGCCGGATTTATATGTTGGATAAATGAATTTGCAATAAATATTTTATTTATTTATAATAAAAATAATAATAATTTAGGTCGGGCTAAAAAGTGTGATTACAATAAAGATATTGTTATTCTAAAAGTTAAAAAAACAAATATACAACATAAAAAGAAAATATTGGTGACGACTACCAGCATAAGATTGGTGTCGTCCCCTATTAATGAAAGAGAAAAAAGACAAGGGCAGAGAGAAAAGAAAGTAAATCATTAGGGCTTTAATTTGTAAACATATTTAAAAAATATATGAATTTTAATGTCGATAGCGTTTTTCATCGGACCCGGATTTTTAATGTCGATAGCGTTTTTCACCGGACCCGGATTTTTAATGTCGATAGCGTTTTTGGATCCTGGTAATTTAGAAGGGGATCTTTAAGCCGGAGCTATAGCGGGCTACTTTTTGCTGTGGCTGTTGATGTGGACCACGGCTATTGGGTTGTTGGTTCAGCTGTTGTCGGCTAGGCTTGGTGTGGCGACGAGGAGACACTTGGCTGAGCTCTGTAGAGAAGAGTATCCGACTTGGGGCAGGATGATTTTGTGGGTAATGGCGGAGTTGGCTTTGATTGGGGTTGATATACAGGAAGTTATTGGAAGTGCTATTGCTATTAAGATTTTGAGTAATGGTGCTTTGCCTTCGTGGGCTGGTGTTTTTATTACAGCTTTGATTGGTCAGTATTCTTTTTTATTTTTGATGAATTATTTTCTTATTTCAATCTTTCACTAGTAACTTTTTCTCCGGTAGATTTTTTTTTATTAAATATGATCTCTGAATTTTGAAGATTTTTGAGCTATTTTAGTAAATATAAAACCCAATTTTGTCTGAGCAAATGATAAAAGTGAGACTTTTTAATGTTATAATTTTATCAAGCCCTGACTAAGTTAATTAATTCTCTTACCTTTGCCAAGTAGCTGGCTGTAACATCATAGCAACTTGTTGCAGTATGATCACTTTATTTTCTCTGCCTTGTTTCAGTTTTATCTTCTTGTTTCTTGAAAACTATGGAGTGAGAAAGCTGGAAGCATTTTTTGCTGTCCTTATTGCTACAATGGCAGTCTCATTTGCTTGGATGTTTGGTCAAACAAAACCCAGTGGCACCGAAATTCTTCTTGGTGAGGCACTCGGTTCCATTGTTGGCTGTAGCAATTTCTTTCGTACAATATTGTGTAGTTGACTTATGAGTTATGATCAAATGGTTTGGTTTTTCAGGTGTTTTGATTCCAAAACATAGCTCCAAATCCATCAAACAAGCTGTGCGAGTTGTGGGCTGCATTATTATGCCTCACAATGTATTCTTGCACTCTGCTCTCGTGCCATCAAACAAGCTGAAGTAGCTAAAAGAATTGTAGAAGTTGAGTTCATTGGTCAACTTATTGCTCTTCTAACTCGCATGCATAGTCGCCTTGTCTTAATAAAACAATCTCAGACCTGTAGCCCAGTTCGTATACCTCCTGAGTTTATATGTCCCCTTTCCCTAGAGATAATGGCTGATCCAGTGATTGTCGCATCAGGACACACCTATGACGGGATTTCATCAAGAAATGGATTGATCTGGGCTGATCGGGTGCCCCAAGTCACGGCAGACTTTGGCTCATGCCATTTTTATACCTAATTACACAATGAAGGCACTAATTGCAAATCGGTGTGAATCGAACAATGTGAACTTGCTTGGTCTCATTCAGTCCATGAGTTTAGATCAGCCCTATCCTCTTCTTGAAACCGAGGTTAAGAAGCTGGTTGATGTCTTGAAGAGTCCATCGATTGAAGCTCAAAGGGAGGCGCAGCTCATCTCAGGTTACTTGCCAAGCAGAATAGGGACTATCGGATTAAAATAGCAAGCTGTGGGGCGATTAGCTTGTTACTTGATTTACTTTATTCACCCGATACAAAGACTCAGGAAAATGCTGTCACATCACTGCTCAACTTATCAAATATTGATAGCAGCAAAACAGCTATTATTGACGCAATGCAATTGAGCCTATGATTCATGTGCTTGAGATAGGAAGTCCTGTTGCTAAAGAAAACACGGCTGCCGCTCTTTTCAGCCTTTCAGTCAACGAGGATTACAGACTCAAGATCGGAAGGACTGGGGCAATCAAGCCTCTTGTTGATATGCTGAGGAAGGGTACTCCTAGGGGAAAGAAAGACTCAGCAACAGCCTTGTTTAATCTGTCAGGATGTCATGAAAATAAGGCTCGAAACGTTCAGGCTGGTGCCGTAAGACATCTTGCAGAGTTGATGCAACCATCAGCCGGATGGTTGATAAGGCAGTATTTCTTTTGGCAAAGCTTGCTGTGCTTGTTGAGGTTGTGGAATTGGGTTCAGAAAGAGGGAAGGAAAATGCGGCTGCTGCACTTTTACTTCTATGTACATACAGTAATAGGTATTGCAATTTGGTGCTGAAAGAAGGAGCTGTTCCACCATACTGGCATTGTCCCAGTCTGGCACCCCAGAGCTAAAGAGAAGGTGATACTGCTTCTGGTCTTCTTTTTTGTTTTTTTTCAATCAATTCCTTTCTTTCAACTCTGGAAAATTAAACAACATAAAGCTGATGTTTGTTGCAGGCACAGGCACTTCTGAGCTTCTTCCGAAACTACCAACATGATAATGCTGGAAAAGGTTGAATGTATTGCAGTGAGCTTGGGGTGAGATCAGTGAATAATCTTTGTTCCATTCACCATTTTTTTGTTTAATCATTATTTTTCGTACTCTATTAAACAATTTCACTGATTTGTAAGCTGTGCTTCTTGTCCAAGACCATGAATTTACTGATCTGTTTTCCTTGTTTAAACTACTCATCAGCTATCAAAATCCATTCTTTATAATATACTCGATGGAAAAAAAATAACTCTTCAAAATTGTTTATTATTTATGGATTTATAGATCTTAATGCAGTGTTACAAGTGTTTTATAAAGAAATTTAATACTGTTCTAGAGAAGTTTACTCTCAAGGTGAGAGACTATAGGAGTATATTATCTTTTATACAATAATAACATGATTAAAACAATGGATTATGATACACAAAATAGGTTGTACAACGATTACAAGTAGTCTAGGAAATAAATTTGAAGATCAAATTTGCTCTTCGTGGCCGTTCACCCTTACTATTTTCCGCTCATCATCATTAAGAGTCGATTCATGCATCAGCTTAATTTATGGCGAGGAGAACCTATTAAGTGTTTTTAGCGGTAAAAGGAAATTTCATTTTTACCATAAAACTTAGGTTCGAATAGTTGTATCCGTAGAGTATGTATCATTATCAATAGACTAGGAAAAATTTTGAATAGATATTACCATGTCAAACTATGCAAAAAAAAAAAAATTATAATGAGTCATGGACAGTACACGTTGACAAATTCATTAATCTATCTAATTGTATGCTAACTTAGTATTTTATTATTAATTTTTTAGACTGGCCATTGAATGATCGCTATTGTCAACGGCTGTTAGACCCTTTGTCAACCGCCATTGTGTGCTAAGAGAGGATCCAGATATATTCGAATACAATACTGTTGAATCAGTCAAATGAGATTCACCATCAAGATGAATTCGAAGAGATTATTTTTGAAAAATCATCGAATAAGCTTGATTGACGTTTGAAAGAGGTTGAAGAAACAATATTTCATTTCGAATGACTGAATATGTCTCATTAAGATCCATCAAAAAATTAAAAATGTATTGTTGAAAAAGACCACCCAGATTAATTTGATAATTAGGACATTCACAAGACGAGAAAGGAATCAGTGCGTCCTACCTGTCCCAAAGCAACTTCAGCTTGGTGAAGTAAGTAGAAATAGAAAGATCCCCTAAACAAATACTGCAATTTCTCTGTACAAAAATAAGATGTGAGAACCATCAATATAACATACAATATGAATAGACATATCATATCCGTATACATCAACATATCATAATTATTATATTAAAATTATAACATATTCATTATACATGTTTAACCATAAATGTGCATCGTTTGTAATCATATATTCAGACAATTTAATAAAAAAATAAATATGATAATTTAAGTAATAGCATAGTCTCATCAACAACAATGTATTAGGATAAGCATAAGTATAAGCAAAACACCCATTAACTTGCTGGTTTTTTTCCTTTTTCTTTGTTTCAGAAACAATTCGTACGCACGTTTTTAGCTACCCCTTGGCGTAGTCCGATATTTTCTTCTCTTGTGGGTTATCATTTGGACCATTTCCTACACCTTTCACTATCTAGGCCATATTCTAAATTTAATGGTCTCTTAATTTAAGGATTATTATCTTTTAACTTAGGTTTAATAATAACTGAGTTTTTTAATTTTTTTTCCAAAAAAATATATATAATCCCTAAATATTTTTGTATTCAATATGGTCTTTAAACTTAAAAAAATCAATTTGATTATTTAGTCAACATAAAGGAATATTGATCATTATGATGGTAACATAATAATTTATAATTGTGTCGCGTTCTACAATATTTATGTGATACTCCATAGTAGTCGATGATGTGAAAGATAAGTTTGATTGATTTTTTTATTCAATTCAAGGGTCTAATTTTTTTTATTAAGCTAAGGTGATTGCAAAATAGTATATGTTCTAAATACTTTTAATCATTTGACAATGAACGCTCAATCACACTGTTGTAATTGATGGTGCTCAAACCGGTGACCTTTAAGAACAACGATTCTTTTAACCACTGAGATAAGTTGGTTCGTACAATTCAAGTGTCTAATTATTTTTATTAAAAAAATACGAGATCTTAATTAATCTTTTAGAGAAAAAATAAAAAATAATTTTAATTTAATATATTTAAATATTTAAAAAAATTAAATATAAAATACTAAAAATTAAAATTACCGAAAAATTAAAAAGAATCTATAGACACTATATCATAAACTATAAATGTTGGAGAATTGTTATGATAAATTATAAATTATTAAAAATTAAAATTATTTTTAAATATATATATATATATATATTATAATAATATGTACGTGCAATAGAAAGATACAAATGTAAATTAAACATATTCATATAGTCGAATTAGCAAATATTTCATGATTTTAATTTTATATACATATCAATCATTACTCCATATGTCATACATTTTTATATCATACATGTACACATATTAAATATGATTTTATTATCATATAATTATATACTAATACTTATACAAAATATTCTTGTTGAATTAGTTGATGTGTACGAATTTTACATCTAAACATAATTAAGAAAAATCAAAGTTATTCACATCAATATACACATTTAATCACATTTAACACAATTCAAAGAAATATTCACAGATCCTTACACATCATAAAATAAGTTAGTATATAAAAAACACTTACCTTACTTCTAAAATTCTATATTCATATTTTTATGATATTACGTTCAATTGTTTTATATAAGCCAATATATACAACGCATTTATCTTGTTCCTAATCATATATAAATATATAACGTATTATAGTAGTTTACTAAACGATATATAAAGATTTATATTTTTCTTTGAAACTTTTTGAAGACTTTAGATGTTATTAAACTTTTGTTTTTTATATTTAAGATTATTTTATTTTTTATAGAAATTTCAAGAAAATGGTAGCTTCCAATTCAAACTTTAGTTTCAAAAATAGAAAATTAAAAACCATGAACAGAAGAGCAAAAGAATTGAGGTAGATGGAATCCAAGAAATGGTAGTCAAACAAAACCAATAAAGAAGAACGTGTGATTGGATCAGAAAAGAAAGAAAGAATTACTGGTGTGATCCGAAGAATAGATCAAGAGCTAAGTAGAAGAAAACGATGATGAAAAAGAAAGAAGAGCATATATCCTAAAAACAAATAGGAGGAAAACCAAGAAAACTCCAACTTCCCCCAAAGAATTGCAAAGCAAACGTGGCAGAGTAAAACCACACCAGCTATCTCACATATGAGAGTGCTGCTTTATTTCTTTTTTTAAAGTCGCACTGCCAGGCTCTATAAAGAAAAGGAAAACTAAATAAATAAAGCAGCATCAGATCCAAATCTCTCCTTCTCTAGAAGATCAATGCAATGGCCGCCCATCCCAACGCCAATCCTCCTATTATCTTCTGCACGCTCTTCATTGTGTCTGCTCCACTCTGGAATTTGTTTTTATCCATTTACACAATTATAATCCTAAAACGGCAATTAGTAATGCATGGTGTTCGTGTATCATATCGTATGATGTAATTGACTCATTTTTTTGCTGTTCTATATCTGATTTTTAGACATCATAATTTTTTGCTACAGATCAATTCATATTTTTTCCTAAAAACTAATTGCTCAAGTTCTATGCGCTTAAACGAGTTCTACTCTCCATTTTGAGCTGTAGTTCAGATTCTAAATTCTAAGGTTCATTAGCAAATATTTGAGTCACAGTTACTAAATTATGCTCGTGTAGCTAGCCTAAATTTCAGATCTGGTGAAGTGCATTGTTGTACGACATAACTTATAGGCCAAACAGATTGAAATGTGAGAAAAGAGAGTGAAATGTACCTCATCCGCAGCGACAGAAGGGCCGGGAGAGGAAGCGCCGAGGCTAGGTCCGGGAGCTCCAGTAGGTGGAGCTGGAGGTCCAAGAAGATCAGGTGAAGGTGCGGGAGCATTGTGTTTCTTAGACTTCTTACTCTTGCTTGGAGCAGGTGCAGGAACCTCAGCTGCGGTTGGTGCCGCAACAGGAGCAGGAGGAGAGGCGGAGCTCTCTGGAGGAGTTGTCGGTGCAGCAGCGGGGGGAGATTTCGCTGCTGGAGGAGAGCTCACAGGGACTGGAGCCGGTGAAGAACTTTCTGGTGTAGCAGCCGGTGGTGAAGAAGCCGGAGAAGATTTAGATGGAGCCGGAATCGCTGCGGACTTCTTCGGAGCTGCAGTCGGTGGCGACGAAGCAGGTGGTGAAGAAGTTGGTGGAGAAGTAGTAGGAGCAGCAGTTGGAGCTGGAGTTTTAGGTTTACTCACGGGAGCAGTAGCTGGCGTACTCGCTGCCGGCGGAGCTTTAGAGGGCCCGGCGCTCGGAGCTTGGGCGCCGACACCAGCTACCACAATGCAAATCAATGCAACGGCAAACGCGCTTCTGCGATCCATTTTTCTCTTAAATTATTCTTATGGTTTTTATCTTTTGAGAGTTGAGACTGAAGTGAACGATGAAGAAAAATAGTGGCAGAGAGAAATTATAAATAAACGAAAAAGAGTCGCGACGATAGTATTCGTGATTAACGGACTTGTTTAGAAGATGTGCACACCAACAAAGAAAAGGGCCGCACAACCACATGGGTCAGACGTAGCCGTTGGATGAAGGATGTTGGGGACCACAAGCATCAAACAACGAAACAAGGGTACATGTGCTCTATATGAAGTTCCCCCGCCCCCCCCCCCCCCAAAAAAATGTACTAATTATGGTAAAATGAGTGTTTTCAAAATAAGTTTACTAGTTATGTAGGGAGCTAAAGATGTTTTCAAAATATAGAACGAAGTAGGACAGTTTTGTTGTGTGAAAGTTTAATTTAAGATGATTTTTAATTTTAAATGTTATTAAATTTTAAAAAAAGTAATCACATTAATGATTCTTAAAGTTTGAATAAATTTTTGTTTTTTTACGAAACTTTCAAAAATTATAAATTAATCATTAATATTATTAATTTATAACTAAATGATTACTTGACGCTAACGCGGTTAACATAAATGATGGAAAGTTGAATTGGACCATTGAGTCTCTGTTTGACAGACTCTTCAACTAATATTATAATATATTAAAAATAATATCGTTTAATGTATATTTAATTGATTAACACCCATTGAAACTCGACAAAACTTTCGAGATAATGTTCTCGAATAAATTAATTCGTGAGATAATGCACTTCCCAGATTAATTGCTCAAATAGGGTGAAATCCATAGTGTTGGCCATAGGTCGCCATGCCATCCGGGCGACCTACTAGGTCACCATTTCTTCCCGGTGAGCTACGAGAGATTTTGCATGTGCCATGCACGTCCCAACACGCTGGGCATCCGAGGCCATCCGAGTGAGCTATGCGAGATCATCCGAGGCCATCCGACCGAGGGCATCCGAGCGCATCCGACCGAGGTCATCCGAGGGGTAGGTCACCATGCACGCTAGGCGACATGGTAGGTCTCCATGCACGCTAGGCGACCTTGTCCTGCGCCTGCTCCCCACTGCATGCTCGCCTGCCTGCTCCCCCGCTACTCCATGCACCGTTATTCGCTGCATTATTGCAGCGTAATTTTCGTTGCTTCATGTAGCAATTATTGCTGCAATTCATGAGAATCAACGACTCGTGATTCTTCAATTATTGATGCATGGCAGCCGACCCTTTAATATATAGGGGGTATGAATGGGGTTAAGGAAGAATAAGAAAGAAAGAGAGAAGAATGTCGAGAGAAAGGAAAGGAATAAGAGGAGGAAGAAGAAAGGGAGTCCGACAAGCAATCATCGAGGTAAATTTTCATTTAATTTAATTTAAATTAGTTTATTATTTTAAATTATTAGTTTGTTAGTTTAAGGTTAGGGTTAGTTTAGGTTTAGAGTTTAGGGTTTAGGGTTTAATTAGTTAGTTTGTTAGTAGTTAGTTATATATAAAAAAATATGTAATTAATTTGTGTTAGTTAAATAGTTAAGTTGCCATATGATTTGTTGAATTTATATTATATAAAAAATTTAGTTAATTAGTTTTTTAGTAGTAAATTATAATTAAAAAATCATTTATTAGTTTTAGTTATATTAAAGAATAGTTTATTAGTTGAAGTTATATTAAAGAATTGTTTATTAGTTGTTTAAGGGAAAATTCACGTTTAAGTTATATTTTAAAAAGTTTAGTTTGTTACTTTATAAGTTTATTATATTATAAGTTATTATATTAAATTTTTTTGTTGTGTTGTAAATTAGTTAGTTAGTTACTTAACATTAGATTATATTAAATGATTTTTTAAATACTGTTGTTTAATATTTTTTTACAGATTCATTCCAATGGCTTACCAAATTCCACTGGTGAGAATTGACAATGAACATATTTCAAGTCATTTGAGAATAATGGTGCATAAAATATTTGTTTAATGAATTATAATTAATAAATATTTGAATATTATTTTATGATGATTGTGATAAATTTTTTGCATTATTTAATTGCAGGAGGACGAGCAGCGAGTCCTTCGTCTTCGGCTACATAAAGTGCCCAAGCCACACCCATTGATAGAAGAAAACTTGCAAGAGGCTATATTTTGGTATGTAACATTTGTGCGAGATTACAAGTTGGTCCCAGGTTTGATCAGTGCGTTTATTGAACGTTGGAGACCAGAAACGCACATGTTTCATTTGTCGCGTGGCGAATGTACGATAACTCTGGACGATGTGGCAATGCAACTCAGGGTCCAAACTAATGGGATGACGGTGGTAATGTCACACGAGTTTAATAATGTGGCACAACTTTGCAACTTGTTTCTTGGGAAAACGCCCGTACCACCGGAGTGTAGAGGGTGGCGTGTGAGGTTGTCATGGTTGAATAATGAATTTCAGCTTCAACCAAATAATACAGAGCATGAAATTATATATGCAACATGAGCATATATATTACAGTTGATTGGGGGGATTTTGATGCCTGATAAATCCGATAGTTATGTTCACACTCAATATCTTCTTTTTTAAAGAAATTTTGAGAATAGTAGGCAATATAGCTGGGGTTCGACGATATTGGCGTTATTGTATCGTGAGATGTGCAAGACGTCATTAATCGTGAATAATAATAATATAGAAGAAATCAGTGGATGTCTGTTACTGCTACAATCATGGGCTTGGCATAGACTTCCATTTTTGACACCGATTAGTCGGACAACGGTTGACTTTCCACTTGCCGGAAGGTAATATGAATCCTCTATTTTAATATAAAATATTAATTTGAAAATATTTATTTTGATTAAAATTATTGAACAAAATGGTCATATTTTTGTTTTGATTGATATATAGATGGAGGCATAAAATTGAAGGCACGAGGTTGGTGCACAACAACATTAAAGAGTTCAGGCTGTAGATCGATATTAAGGCCAAAAAGGAGGTATGTATAATTTTTTATTTTTAATTATTATTTAAATTCACTATATTATTTGATTTAAATCAATTTTATTATTTTTGTAATTTTACAGTTTTATTGGAGACCATATATGAATGAAGAAATTGTTGAGATCCAATTTGGGGATAGAGTGCTGAGGCAATCCCACTTCCATCAACCTATTCCGTGTAGTCCATGGGATCATGACTTCCTCCAAAACTTAGATGGTCGTCTCCAAAACTTAGATGGTCGTCGTCAGGTGAATTGGGTTGAGACGCATGATGACCTGCACAGATTTGATGGTCGTCGTAAAGAAAATGTTAATTGGGTTGAGAAGCATGCAACCTACATTAATGCTTGGAACAATAGGGTTTCATTCATGCCAACTCTTGACGACATTCAAGACGACGACTTTAATTTTGAGACTTCAGCTTACCTTGCTTATTTTTGGGATAATGGAAAGCCGTTCCTGACAACAATGACAGAGAGGCGACAATTTTTGAGGTTTAAGTAAAGATTTGGTAAAGCTGAATACTCTCTACCGAGTGAGAGTGAGAGTTCATCTCAACAACCTGAAGCAGAAATGACCAATGTGGATAATAGCGCACCACAACCGTTCGGAGATGCGGGATTGTTGCATCACGTAGTTGATGATTCTATTGTCCCAGCATACATACCAGAGTTTATGCAGCCTGAGGCACCCATCTACTCTTCTATGTTTTTGTCGACGTATGACTTTGAACACATAGCAGTTCAAATGCCCCCAATGAATGAGGAGGATGGGTACCATACTCCTGAGCAACCACAACGGCCACAACGCATCAGACGTCTGCCCTGACATTATCATTCAACAACACCCCGGCATCGACAACAATTGTAAACTCATTTGCTATTTGTTACAAATTATATATTGAAATTAGACTAGTTTTTTTAACCTTAACAAATTCGACATATTTATAATGATTTTTAGTATCAAATCATTATTATAATTTCATTACTAGTATCATTAGTATTAAATAATTAAATATTAATAATAAATCATTATTAATAATAATTACTAAATCATTAGTATCAAATAATTTAAATATTTAAAAATCATTAATAAATTCGACTATGTATTAATTTAAATTCGAGTAGTTCACACTTGTACACTCATTTGTTATTATTCCATAATTATATTAGTAATAATTATTAAATCATTAGTATTAAATCATTATTATAAAATCATGACTAAATCATTATTAAATCATTACTATTAAATCATTATTATAATGATTATTATTAAATCAATATTATAATTATTATAATGATTATTACTAAATCATTATTATAATGATTATTACTAAATCATTATTATAATGATTATCACTAAATCATTATTATAATGATTATTATCAAATCATTACTAAATCATCAAATCATTAAATATTAAAATAAATACTAAATCATTAAATATTAAAATCATTATTATAATTATTATTACTAAATCATTATTAAATCATAATATTAAAATCATTACAAAATCATCAAATCATTAAATATTAAAATCATTATTAAATCATTTTTATGGTTAATTGAAGCACACGTCCATTCAAATTTGTTCAAGTCCTCGAATTATAAATGTCATATAATAATTTATCACCCTATCAGTATCAAATTATTATTATAATTTCATTATTACTAATAATTACTAAATTATTACTATCAAATCATTAAATATTAATAATAATTTCATTATTACTAATCATTACTATCAAATCATTAAATATTAATAATAATTTCATTATTACTAATCATTATTACCAAATCATTAAATATTAATAATAATTTCATTATTACTAATTATTACTAAATAATTATTATAATTTTAAATATAAATTCATTATTAAATCATGATTATCAAATCATTACTAAAGAAAATCATATCATTATTACAAATCAAACAAGTGTTCCATGGATGAGTATTAGTTATGTAACGAAAATGACGTTAATTGAACCACACGTCCATTCAAATATGTTAAAGTCCTCGAATTATAAATCATTACAAAATTAAATCCGGATAAATATATAGAAATACATATATGATTACTAATGATGAGGCCTATATCTTGGTAAATTA